TAATATCAAATGTGTTCCCACTGAAGCAATCAGCCAGGATGGGACGACTTATTCCATCAATATCGTGTGTGCCAAATCAGTTGTACTGTGAGGATGGGGAATGGGGAGGGGGAGTAGCCCTGCTTCTCTGTAACTGGAACCAATTCATCTGGCATAGAAATTAGAATATATTATGCCTCAAATAAATATGTAGGAGAATGTTGTCAAGAGTCCATGAAAACTGCCAAAGATTTTCCTTCATTTAAAAATCATCTTATCAGGTTGGTGATTTCAACCTTGTAAAGGAAAAGCTATTTTAGACAAATTTATAGCTTTCAGTGCTTTTTGCCATATGCAGAACTAATGTGACTCCAAGACAAGTTTGTGAAACTATTTTTTTCTACTAGTTCTTTTCAAAATTTCACCAAAATTTATAGTGCCATATGTCTAAATCAAGTTATATTAAATGCATTGATGCATCACAATGTGCAAATGAAACAGGGCAAGAACAAAAAGAAACAGGAAGAAAGTAAAGTGCTTCCTCCTGCTCAGCACCTCTTACATAAAGGCTCTGGAAATAAATAACCCAATGAGAAATGTGAGGACCAGGAAAAAAGTGATTCCATCAATTAATTCCCAGCAAGAGCAAGATGTTCTAGAGTAAATTCTGAAGACCAACTCTGCAAACTGGAAGAAACTCTGGAAAAAGTACAGAAGACATAAGACATAGCTAAGTCTATCTCTATCCTCACCAAATAACCCAGTTTAATAAGAAAGAGGTTCCTTTTTTTGTTCACTATGTTTTCCGTTACTTTCTAAGTACATCTATGAAGGGCAAATCATATCTGTCTTATATTTTACCTGGTGGGAATTAAAATTCCTCCTACTTTTAAAGTGTTTCTAGTGCCAGACTCTACCTCTAAGGTTTTCTGTTTTATTTCATCCTGTTACCTACGTGATCATTCTGACATGCAGCTCTCTCACCCTGTCACTACATACCTAGAACTTAAATCCAAGTCCAATTCATCTGTGTTTCACACCTATCTTTCATATCCCCATTGAGGAAACCAATAATAATGTTAACCCAACAAGGATAAAAGCAGGTATCTACCTGTCACCAAAGGTTTTCCTGTAGATTGAAGTATAGCTTTTCAAATGGCCAATATACAGCTCACATTTCTTCTTTCTTGTTCACAGATATGAGATATGACTTAATCAAAAGTGTACCTAAACTGGGTGCTGGTGGCTCACACCTGTAATCCTAGCTATTCAGGAGGCACAGACACCTCTCCTGGTCTCTTTCACCAACTTGCCTTGCCTCTATTCCCTCTCACCCATTTCCAGTTCCTTCTTGCACTCCTATCTTGGAGACATATTTCTTCCCATAGCTTTCATTATCCCTTCAGCTATCATTGGCTCATTACTATCAGATATCACTAACATTGTCCTCTCAACTCTTATTTCCAACTTGACTATCTGGCAGTCTCCCACCTTTCAATAAGTAAAAGGATCTTCATTTAATATAATCAGGTCCTGCCATCAAGTCCACAAGTCCAGCACTCTCCTGCACAGGGACTTAACCGATCCCCATAATCACAGTATTTTTTATTTTTCCCTGTGTCTGTACTTCAATGGATTTTTTTTGTAGTGGCAAGGGCATTATGCATGCACACACTCTACCACTGTGCTACATCTCCAGTCCAGAATCTTATATTTCCATATAACATTTAACATATAACTGCCTCAAAATTGCAATTACAGGCCGGGTGCTGGTGCCTCATGCCTGTAAACCTAGCTACTCACGAGGCAGAGATCAGGAGGATCATGGTTCAAAGCCAGCCTGGGCAAATAGTTTGCAAAACCCTATCTCAAAAAATCCTTCACAAAAATAGGGCTGGTGAAGTGGCTCAAGATTTAAAGTTTTCTTTCATTGATCCTGTTTAACTTCACTTAGTCTTGGATTCTCATCTGTAAAAGGGAAATAAGACACCTACTTTATAAGGACATTGTAAATTTAACAGAGATTTATGGAAGGTAGCTTATACATAGAAGGTGCTCAAAAAGTGATGCCACCACAAGCAATATGGTTGTTTGCTCTGAGGGGATCTCCACAGCATTCAGTCAGAACATGGCAAAACAATATCAACTAACACCTGTCTAGCTCTTCACTGGGGTGGAATAAAATGAAAACTGAAATCTTTTCATCCTCCTAGACAGTGATTTTACAATGAGAGAACCATTAGAAGCCACTGCTGACACCTTTTGGCTCCTTTGTTTTTTCCTTAAACTACACCAGTCTGGATCCACAAAAGAAATAATATAAATAAAATAATGAACACTTTTTACAGACCATCTGCTTTAGTGAAGTCCCCTGATATCTCTATAGCATTAGTAGAAGCACAAGAAAATGGCAGCTTCTCAAAAGGTATTTGCTTCATTTCAAGTTTCATTTAAGGAGTAAACACCATTTTTTATGGCAAGGTGCTAGAATGTAATGTTCCTTTTAAGTTCCATGGTTTTTGTTCCTTTGGCATCTTGCAGTATTCTATGGTGGATTTTAACTAACTACTTAATGACTTAATAGGAAACATTTATTGAAAACCTCAGAATGCTTCTTTTACTGACCAACATTTTATTCAACCTCTTCCTACAATGATGAGTTAAGTTTTCCCTCAGTTCAATTGGGGAATTGTTTCCACAGATATCAAAATCTATAGTGTAAAGTGACATGGTATTTGCATATAGCTTCCTATATACTTAAATCATCTCTAAATGATTTAAAACACCTAATACAATGTCAATACTATATGAATACTTGTTACAGTGTATTGTTTAGGGAATAATGACAAGAAAAGAAAGTCTGTATATGTTCTGTGAATTCAGCTTTTTTCAAATACTTTTTTACCTGTTCACAGAACTTGTGGGTACAGAGGCATTCAACTGACTTTTGCTATACTTCTTAGCCCTATACCAAGAAAAAATTGAGCCAGGAACATAAGAAGCTTTAAACTAGAAATGCTGTTGCTTCACCAGATTCAAAAATTCCTATTTGTGAGCGTTTCATGCTCTTTTGTTTTCTCTGAGATATTACAGGAAAGAGACACAGGAAACTTCAGAAACAAATGTGAGCCTGTTTATCAAAGAACAGACATAGAGTATTTATTAGAGACTTTAATGCTAAAATCTGAAAACTCCTGATCACTCTCATACTGATGATGTATTGATTCACATCAGTATTTTATTAGAGAATAATGCCATAGAATTGGATGAGACCTCAGCACTTATAGATTGCAAACTGGCAGGCTATAGGCCACATGTGGCCAGGAGACATTTTTAGTGTGATCCTCACTGTTTTTAAGATTAAGGACACTTTACATGAAAAATTCAGAAACTCCTTGAAAAGTTGGCACATGTCTCCCATCAGGCCTGCTCCCTTCCTTTATCTCATCTGCCAGACCCCAACAGTTTTTTTTAAAGGGAAAGAGCTGGAATTCATAAAGGGCTTCCCAACCTACTAGCTCTGTGACTTTCTGCAAGGTTCTGAGTCTTGGATTCCTCAGCTTTATATTAAAGGTAAGTTCTTAACCATCTGGTGATTGTGAAGACTAAAAGAAAACTTCATAGAAGTGCTTTGTACACTATATTGTAAAGTGTTTACCATCTTTATCTCCTAGCTCACTGTGAGTTTTATAAATCCCCTTTACCTACATCAGTTATTATTTGACATCCTTGCTCCTCATATTATTATATCCTGTGTGACATAGTTTGGCATCTAAATTAAAGAAAATTGCATATTTCTCTTTCTATATTTAACAAGAGGCAGAACAGATATGGAAAGAAAACAAAATGAATTGATGAATGCCATTGGATTTTTACTAAGCCATTTCTGTTTGTGATGGAGGAATGAAATCAGTGCAAATTGTAATTACCAGATTGTTGATGCCTTCAGGAGCTGTGTTATAAGTTCACCCACTAGGCACCTGAGGCCTCAAAACAAAACTGGCAACTTATGTATTAGGGATTCCTGTGAAATAAGGGTCCCTGATGTCGTTCATGGGCCTCATTAGTGTCTTAGAAAGGATTCAACACATCAGAAAAAATCAAAATTTTAATACGATCTCTAAAAGCTTAGCCTCTGGAATATTAAGCCAAGGCACACATTTTATATCTGTCTCTATCAGCATACAGATATAGATATATCTCCCAAAAATCTAGTAAGAGTTTTAAAAAACAGAATTTCAGAAATGGCAGAGGTGCAGAAAACTGCACTTAAATAATGATGTAGTAGATACAGAAATGTTATCAAAGATGTATGCTATGAGTGCTATGATTTTACCTTAGGAATTCACAAATATGTTTTCCTGTTCTGGTCAAATTACACAGAAGAGCATCCTGGTGTGGGGAACCACAATAACATCATCTCTCTTAGTGTTGAGATAATCACACCTAAGTGAACTGCAAACAACTGGAAATAGGGGGAGAGAGGGGCTTTAAAACGGAATAGGCTTTCTTTATATGATCACCAAAATGCTAGTAATTTATGATTCAAGACACCGTCCGTTGAAAAATTCATCTGGTGAATCCGTTTAAAAGCATTATCACATAGTGCAATTACAGCTTTTCTTGAAGTTGAATGAAACCGTTATCTGAATACAAATTAACGGATACAGAATTGTCACAAGGTCTTCAGTGTCTATTTTATTTTAAAAATCAAAATAAATAGCAGTATTTAAGAAAGCAGTTCTTTCAACAGATGTCCCAAGGCTGATGTTTTAGTAAGTCTCCGTGGCAACCAAGGAGCATAGTGCATATTGGGCTGGGGGGGTGAGGAGGAAAAAGGGGGAGCAACTCCAGGGTTGGTGGAATAAGTAACCCGAGTAGTAATTGCTCCTGGTAGACGACTCTGATAGATGCTCATACCCCTGAGATTTCAACTCCAGGTCTCGCCCCCTCTAGCGCACCAGCAGCCCCTCACCAACCCGGTATAGGTTAGACCCCGAATAGGAGAGAGACTGGCTTACCCGATGGGTGAGCGGTCTGCTGGGTTTTGTACCCAAGGCGGCAGCACAGGCACCGGGTTCTGCCTGATGCACAATGGCTCTGCTTCGCCCCACGATGATGGGGTTACGAGAAACTGCAGTGGCTTCGCTCTGCCGGGTTGGGGATGCAGTAGTGATGAAGAAGCGCGCTAGTGTGTGTGTGTGTGTGTGTGTGTGTGTGTGTGTGTGTGTGTGTGTGTGTGTGTGTGTGTGTCTGTGTGTGTGTGTCTGTGTGTGTGTGTGTGTGTGTGTGTCTGTGTGTGTGTGTGTCTGTGTGTGTGTGTGTCTGTGTCTGTGTGTCTGTGTCTGTCTGTGTGCGTGTGCATGCGGTGTGAGTGTCTGTGCGCGTGCTTGCCTCTTTGCGCGCTCCGGATCCTCCTGCAGGGAAACAGTGTTCCCCAGTAAATAAAAAGCCCCAGCCAGCACTGCAGGTGGCAAGTCGCGCTCGCTCTGCCCCAGGCGGCCAAGTCAGCCTGGAGACGCACCTCGCTAGGCAGCCCCGCGGCGGGTGCGGACGCCTAAGCGACTCCGCCCCCTTCCCCCCCCCTCCCCCCCGGCGAGCCCGCGCAGCGCCCCGCCCCCACGTCTCCCTCGGCTGGAGAGCCAGCGCGCACGCTCCCCTCCCCTCTCCGCCCCGCAGCGTCCCCCCGCTACTGGCGAGCCAGCGCGCACGCCCGCTCTCCCCGGAAGTCCCCCCCACCGCGCAGCACCCCTAGGAGCTCTCGGGCACCTGCGCCGCGGACCTCTGAGTCGCATGCACAGCCACGGCTGCGGCCGCTGCGGCGACGGATGGATCTGTAGCACCCAGCCCGCTTGTCCTCAGTTCCTTCCCGGGGCTGGTGAGCGGCCTGTGACCACAGAAGCCTTGACTTGGTGTGCTGGAGAATACTGGCCCTCAGCTTTCCTCTCCCTGACCTTCCTAACTTGTACTTTATGAATTGCCTCGATTCCTAAAGGGAAAGGGCCCTACAGTGGCCCTCCTTTTATGGTACTCTTGAACAAATTCAAGAAAAGGACCGAGATGGACTGAAGCCCTAAACCTGAGGAATGAGGACAGGTATTTTAATTCAGCATTAAAACCCCTAGCAGACAACCTTAGAAACACCGCCCTTAAATTCCAGTGCCTGGTACACTTGCAGATCATTCACATCATTCTGTGTGAAGCCTGTTGAGAAACTCACATTTAATCAAAAATGAGTCATTTTAATAAGCAAATATTAAACCTTTCAATTCAAAACCTTGGTTCTATGTGGAGGCAAGCCAACTAGAACAGTAGAAAGGAGAACTTAAACGACTGCAATATTTAAACTACGTCCTGGAGTCCACAGAATGTTAAGTTCCCTCTTTTACAGGTTTACATTCTTCCATACTCTTGAGCTAGGCACCGTGCCCAGGACTGTTTTGAGGTGTCTTTAACATTCTCATTGGTGTCAATTCAATGATTCAGCAGTCGTTTTCCACTTTGAGACCCATAAGATTTCTAGGTCTGTTTGTCGTCCTGGAACCTGTCTGCGTTGTCTTCCAGCTCTCTCTACCCATGGTCTTCATATTTGGACTTCAGGATGCTGAGCACCTACTCATCTAGCAGTCCTGGATATCAGGAAAGATGCAGAGAAAAGAAGTGACTGACTGTAAACATTAGGTGCAGTGTCATTCTCTACAATTTTTCATAAATAACAAATACAGTTTTCATTGGGTGTTTTATACCGAAGATCAAATGTGGAAGTATTTTTGAACCCAAAATATTGGCAAATACTGGTGTCAAGAAATAAAATACTCTAAGATTCATAAACTAGTGGTCACTAAAATAACTCTATTGAACATTTTAAGCCTATCTATATTGATTCAATTATCTGTTTGCTTAGAATAAAGAGAAGCTACTCACTAAATATAATCAAATAATTCAAAGAATGTGACTGCGTGTACACAGAAAAACTAGTCTTTATGCCATGAACTCACCCTCTATGTGAATATAGAAAGGATTCTTACTGCCCTGGCTGGGTGTTTCTTGTTCATTGTTGTATTCCTTGACCATAGGGCAATGTCTGCCACATAGAAGAACTTGATAAGTATTGCTTACTGGCATATAAATATTGAGAATTAAAATTTTAAAATGTGTTAAATGCCTAGTAAAATGTCTAGGTCAGATAAGGCACTTTTCCTCTAAATGAATGCTGAGGTATTGACTTAGAGTATAAAAGTCTTTTATTTTTCTAAAATAAGAGACTTGGTGTTTTGGTAGATAGCCATCTAAACTCAAGACAAATATATCTTCCAGTTTACTCTGTTACTAGAGTTCTTAGATATCATCTCTCTCAAGCACCATTAAATATGGTCTTTCTCCTTATTGAGAAAACAGTTTAAAACAAAGCTTTTTAAAAGCTGTTCTTAAGAATATTAGTCATTCTTTCAAAAACTTTCTTCCCCTTTAGAATGGGTTAGGCAGTGTAATGAATAGGGATTTTAGTTGTCAATAAAAACTTGTCCTTGTTTCAATATAGTGATTTTATGAAAGATAAGCTGAGAGGGAAAAGAGTGCATCCTTTAGTTGCAAACATGAGAAACTACTTCAACTTAAGCAAAGGGAATTTAATAGAAGAATATGAGGAGTTTGAGAATTGTCTAGGGGCCTTCTTCCTAGATAACCAGGCTAGGAAACTTGTCCATGGGCCAAGAAGTAAGAGCACAGCTTAAATCTATTATTGTCATAGACTTTTATGCAGTCTGCACTTTAACAGCTTTGTGAGAATCAGGGACAGATCAGATTTCACTCTAAAATTACATCAGAAAGGAGAGCTGTGCACAGTTCCTTATTCAGCTCCACAGCGAGAACAGTCATAGCTATCTTTTCCCATAGGAAGGGAGGAAGTGCCATTTTTAATACCGTGTCATGTTTCTCTGTCACAAATCAGTAGTGGCACTAAGGAGTCATGAGCTACATTCCTAACGACTGTACCTCCACTGAGAAGCGATCAGTACTAATTATGCCAAAACCCAAATTGATCTTTTTTGGCTGATATTCTTTAGTTTTCAGGAGAAAAACACAAAATAACTCTAGCTAACACCTCAATTTATTCAGCTACACGTGGGTACACTTTGTAGCTAATTTGTCCTATTCATCAGGATCCAGTGTCACTCAAAATTAGTTGGGCCAAGGGAAAGGTATTTCTGTTAAAATGTTTGATGTTTACATTTTCTTTTTTTTTTCCTTTTTTTTTTCTTTTTTATTATGTGCATACATTGTTTGGGTCATTTCTCCACCCTGCTCCCCCCCCCCTCAGTTTCAGGCAGGTCCCATTCTGCCCTTGTGACTGATTTTGTTGAAGAAAAGACATAAGCATAATAAGACAAAGCGTTCTTGCTAGTTGAGTTAAGGATAGCTATACAGAAATATTCCTACTATTGCTCTCATGTACCCATGTGTTACGACCCATGTTGATTCATCTTTAACTGATCTTTACATTGGTCCTGATCCCCTGCTAGTGATAACCTGTCGTTAAGGTTTCTGTATTAGTTCCTCTGGAGTGGGGAAATCAAACACGTTCATGTTTTCGGTTTTCTACCTATTCTTATATCTCCCGTATGTGCTCTCCCCTTTTTTTGTGATCTGAGTCCAACCACATTGCTGCATTTGCCCTAGATCTGAAGTCCGCATATGAGGGAGAACATATGATTTTTGGTCTTCTGAGCCTGGCTGACCTCGCTCAGAATGATGTTCTCCAGTTCCATCCACTTACCTGCAAATGATAAGATTTCATTTTTCTTTATGGCTGAGTAAAATACCATTGTGTACAAGTACTACATTTTCTTGATCCATTCATCAGTTGTGGGGCATCATGGCCGTTTCCGTAACTTGGCTATTGTGAATAGTGCTGCAATAAACATGGGTGTGCATGTGCCTCTGGAGTAACCTGTGTTGCATTCCTTTGGGTATATCCCCAGGAGTGGGATTGCTAGATCATAATGGCAGGTCTATGTTTAGATTTTTAAGAATCCTCCAAATTTTTTTCCAGAGTGGTTGCACCAGCTTGCATTCCCACCAGCAGTGGATTACGGTTCCTTTTTCCCACATCCTCACCAGCACTTGTTGGTGATGTTTTGAATGATGGCTATTCTAACAGGGGTGAGATGGAATCTTAGTGTGGTTTTGATTTGCATTTCCTTTATGGCCAGAGATGATGAGCATTTTTTCATGTGTTTTTGGCCATTTGGATTTCTTCCTTTGAAAAAGTTCTGTTTAGTTCAGTTGCCCATTTCTTTATTGGTTCATTGATTTTGGGAGAGTTTAGTTTTTTGAGCTCCCTGTATATTCTGGTTCTCAGTCCTTTGTCTGATGTATAGCTGGCAAATATTTTCTCCCATGCTGTGGGTGGTGTCTTTAGTTTAGAGACCATTTCTTCTGTTGTGCAGAAGTTTTTTAATTTCATGTAGTCCCATTTGTATATCCTTTTGCTCAGTTGCTGGGCTACTGGGTTCTATTGAGGAAATCCTTGCCTATACCTACTGCTTCCAGAGCATTCCCTGCTCTTTCCTGTACTAACTTCAGAGTTTCAGGTCTGATATTAAGTTCCTCAATCCATTTTGAGTTGATTCTAGTACAGGGTGATAGGCATAGATCTAGTTTCAGTTTTCTAAAGGCAGATAGCCACTTTTCCCAGCAACATTTGTTGAACAGGCTGTCTGTTCTTCATCATATGTTTTTGGAGCCTTTGTCAAAAATAATGTGGACATAGCTGGATAGGTGGATTCACACCGGGTCCTCTAAGCTGTTCCACTGGTCTTTATATCTTTTTTTTTTTTTTTTTGCCAGTACCATGCTGTTTGTATTGCTATGGCTCTATAATATAGTTTGAAGTTGGGTATTGTGATACCTCCAACATTGCTCTTTTTGCTGAGTATTGCCTTGGCTATTCATGGTCTCATGTGTTTCCAAATGGATGTTAGGGTAGATTTTTCAATCTCTGTGAAGAATGTCATTGGGATTTTGGTGGGAATTGTGTTGAACATGTAGATTGCATTTGGCAGTATAGCTGTTTTTTACTATGTTAATTCTACCAATCCATGAGCATGGGAGATCTCTCCACCTTCTATAGTCTTCCTCAGTCTCCTTCTTCAGGGGTTTGTAGTTCTCCTTGTAGCAGTCATTCACATCCTTTGTTAAGTTTACTCCTAGGTATTTGATTTTTTTTTAGGCTATTGCAAATGGAATTGTTT